GGGGGGGGGGGGGGGGGGGGGGGGGGGGGGGGGGGGGGGGGGGGGGGGGAGGGTTACAACGTCCTCAAATATTGTCGCTTCTTGTATGATCACAAATGCCGCCGGGTGAGACATCGGCATGCCGAAAAGCATGCCGATCATTGGCGTGAAATTATATTTGGTATTAATCTTAGCCATCGTTCTGTGTTCTCTTGGTGCAGGTTAGGGACCCCAAGAACGAAACGACAGAACAACAACTATGATCGGCCTATCAGCCGGACACACAGGACACACTCCGACAAAACGACAACCAGCAGTGCTACCGTACACCTTGTGCGCCTAGTGTCAACCACGAGAGCACACTCGCAATACCTCCACTCGAATTACGAAAAAAATAAACTCCAGAATGTCCCCGTAATCTTTGACATTATTCATGGCTGGGTCACCATGGTGTCCACAAAGACGGAAATCGTATGCGCGCACACCCGCATGCAACAGGCGATAGATGTGTGGTCGGTGGGGTGCATTCTTGCGGAGCTGATGCTTCGACGACCTTTCTTCCCGGGTGACAACTACATAGACCAGCTCACCATAATCTGCGACAAGCTGGGCAAGCCTAAAGAGGACGAGCTAACGTTTGTCTCCACGGAAAAGGTGGGACCCGATTGCGAATCTGTACTGCGTGGTTATCGTTGCCGTTGTCGCCGTTTTTGTTGTTGTCGTTGTTGTTGTTGTTGTTGTTGTTGTTGTTGCTGTTGTTGTTGTTGTTGTTGTTGCTGTTGTTGTTGTTGGTGGTGGTGGTGGTCTCAGTGTTTCCTCTTTTTTGTTGACGATGAGACCATGAGCAGGGAGGGCAAGGCGGCATTGTCCATGACCAAAACCGAGCAGCAAGCCATACAACAGCAGAAACACTCGTGGAACGGGGAATCGCTGGTGGCCCAATCCCCCCCGCCGCCTCAAGATCCCCCTCCGCCGCCTCTGCGCGCGTATACCCCTCCCTTTGTCATTTTTCAGGCGAGGCGGTTCATCATGAAGCTGTCCGCGACGACCCCCCAGCGCTTGAGGGATCAGTTTCCCGGGACGGCGAGCGACGAGGCGCTCGATCTCCTGGCCAAGATGCTCGAGTTTTCCCCCGAAACGAGAATCTCCGTCGAGGACGCCCTCAAGCATCCCTTCATGCAGAGCTACCACGTGAGCAGGCCCGCCTTGACGTCCTCGCCGCTGTCTTTGTTGGTTTGGTGCTGTCGTTATGAGTCGTTGTTCGGTGGCACTAAATCGTTGTCGCCCTCGGTTTCGGAAGTCCACAGCCCATAATGACCCCGGTTGAAAAGTGTTGGCTTGTCTGAATACAGGTCTAACTCTAACGCCATGCACACGAAATCGATCTCCTCAACCCTCGCCTAAGAGAAGTACCTCGGGCACCAACCGTGGAACCCCCCTTTGCCCTGCTAAAGCTACGCGAAGAGCCAGCCGACGTGACAGACTACCTATGCCACTAGCACATCTCGCTAGAATGGATGCGAAAATGAGCACTGCAGTACACGCGTATTGCGTCGTCCTTTGATGCGTGCAGACAGGAAACGATGAACCCAGCGCCGACTTCGAGTTTTGTTTCGCCTTTGAGGAGGAAGTGCCGACCAAGCACCGCCTGCAAGAGCTCATGTGGGAAGAGATGCGCCGCTACCACCCGGAACAGGGGGAATGGAAGGGAAAGGCGAGCCCCCCTGCGGCTGCTGCGCCGAAGCTCGTTGGCTCGCCCAGGTGAAGAATCTACGCTGAAGCAGTAGTAGGGAGGTTCAGTCTATTCTCGAGTTTCGACCAGCCGCGGCACTGTAGACAAAGCGCGGATCAACGTTTGTCGTCGTCGGTCCACGCCTTGCCAGGACCCGACCTCTGTTATTGTTGCTCGGCGGTAAATTGCAGTTTGTCTTTTCGGTAGAAATAATCAAGCGTTACCGTGCTCAGAATCAGCGCCTCCACTTTCTTCAGGAAATTCAACAGACAGGGTTTCCATTCTTGCTTTGTTTCAGGAAGTTTGGTCATCTCAAACGGGATACCGCGGGCGATTCCCTCGGCAGATCGCCGATCAAGGCTAGCTCTATCAACAGTGAAGCCTTAAATTCCTCCGTCGGCGCCGTTGACATACCCCCTCCCGGTGGCGGCGCTAGCGCATCGGCGGAGCGGCACGGGGAACCAACTGAAGGAGAACCTAAAAAAAGCCGCGGCTTGGTCTCCCGCGTTGCCTGCTCAGCAAGGCCGCAAACCCGAAGGACGAGCAAGAGGGTGGCGGCGGCGGCGGCGGCGGCGGCGGCGGCGGCAGCAGCGCAAGCTGCTGTTGCGCCATCGAACGCCGCCGCTGTTGGCGAGGCTAGAAGCTCGACGCCTGGTGGCCATCGTGGCGTTGCGACCGTTCCGGCGACATCGACGCCATCATCTGCACCTTATCCCCCGTCGTCAGGGCCCTCTTCCTTGTCGTCTTCCTCCGCAAGCGGAGATCCTCTCGGAGCCGCTGCCGCAGCTCCGAGAGCGAGAACCCGGGCAACCGCGCGTGCGCGGGTCATCAAAGGCCGAACGACCGCTTGCCCGATGGCCTATTCTAGCAGTGGCAGTAGTTGCAGCGAGAACGCCGGGGCGCAGTCCGTGGCCTCGGCGACCCCTGATGCAGACTCTTTTCTACGTCGGTGGGCACAAACAGCTGCGCCGGTGGCGGCGGTCAAGTCGCCAAACCCCGAGACCGTCGCCGCCAACAAGAGGCAACGAAAGGGGCAAGATGTGGACAAAAGAAAGGGGCGCGCCGGGACGTTGCGCCCCGATCCAGGGCGGAGTTGGCCGGCGACGACAACGAATCCGTTGCATCCGACGAGCATCAAACCGATCGGAAGCAGCGGCAATAGCAGCAGTGGCAGCGGCAGCGGGGGTAGCGGCAGCGGGGGTAGCGACAGCGGCAGCGGCAATAGTTGCCGTCAAGGAGCACCGGCAAACGGTGATTCCGAGTTTTTGTCCAAGGTGGGTGATGCGGACGGTTCGGTGTTTCTGTGTTTGAACCTGTGGCGTACGAATTGATACAGGAAACCGAAGATATCTCGGCTGTATCGCTGCCTTACTTGGACGGATCCATGACGACACTGATTGTTGTTCTTGCAAAGCCAGGCGGACGGAAATCCCACGAAATAGTGCACCAGCCCGGAAAGCTATGTATATGGCTCGAGGCGATCGGGAGGGTGCTGCGGAGTACGTCATGGGTCGTCGACCCATGGCGCGTAGCTTTGAACGATGGGCATGAGAAATCGTATTGCCAGGTCCACTTCTCCCCCATTTGGACGCCCTAGAAGACAGCTGGGAGCTTGCCGCGGTGCGACTCTAAATACCTCATCTCAATGCACTTCTCAGACTATACATTATGACCTGGTATGTTTTTGCTCCTCTGCATTACGCAATAGCAGGACGGGTTTGGAGACGACTCACCCAGCAAACCGCCCAGCTTCGCCAAGCGCAAGGTTGTAGACTCTGCAGGGAAGAAAGGGGACGATGGGGGTGTCGTTTTCGGCACAAAACATGCCCCAATTTCGGAAAGAGTAACGTAGAAGCACAGTACCAAGTTGTTGGAATAGTGATTCTTAGTGGTCGGGTATCCGTGCGCTTGTTGTGACGAAAATGGGAGATGCGCGGTGGTGAGATGCGCGGAGGTGACGTCTAGCACTCTGTGCTGTTCATCGAGCGGTTGGGCAATCACAAGCATTGTATCTGGGTATGTTATGTTAGCACATTACAAGAACGGCATGAGGGTAGGGAAGCCACCCGAAGAAAAGCGCGGCGACGTGTTCCCCTTTTCTTCTACGCTCGGAGCTTCCACGGGCTACGGACCGATCAATGGGCAAAAACATTCCGATGTGGGATGCAGAGCCCAACTCACTTCAAGTGTAATGACACACTGCCTCTGCGGTCTTGATACATAATAAATATATTGGTCGGCGATGTCTAGCATCCGGGTTCTGCTGCATCAACCGGCCTCTACTTTGTGAGGCTTGTTGGGAGCTCTGGCAACCGGCGTTGATACGTGATGTTCCTTGAGAAGTAGTGTAGCACGCCGACGGTGGAGGTGTGGTGAAGTTTGGCATAAATCTGATGTATTTGTCTTTTCTATCGAAACTCACTTGTCGGAGGGGCGGGCTTTTTCCTGCCGAGATCGCGATACCGACATTCGTCATTTTGTGACTAGTCTAGGAGGAGGAATCTACAGCTGTACTTAATACTGCGAGACTGTGCGCTAAACGCCACAATGGTAACACGTTGTTAATGTCAGCGGGGCGGGTTTTTGTTTTCCGCCGAGACGGGGAGACCGATGTTTATCACTCTGTACTTTCGAAACCTGTACCCACTATTTCTGAACTGGAGTCCCGAAGAAGTTGTTGCGAGACTCCGTGCAATACGCCAGACTGGCGACACGTTTGCTAAGATCAGTGCTACGGGGATGTATTCTGTGTGAGTGGCAAGAGTTACGGGTAGAAATCGCATGGGTGTGTGGCACTAAAAAGCGTTCGGGGCCAGGGACAAGCCAACACAGTCCCTTGTAGGATAACTGGTGTGCGTAGAATAAGTGCTCTCGAACCTGGAGCAGTAGAGAAAATAACACACACAACATTGGTTACCATGAGGCATGTGTTCAGAGCGTGTAAGTCCTTGCTACGGTAACATGAAGGGGAGTACGGAATTATATCCGAGGCTGAGGCAGCTCCTACGAACCGATCCCGCGGCTTTGCAAATGTGTCTGATACACTACGAACCGATCTCGGACAAGACAGCCAGCAACAAAAGTTGTCTTGTCGTGTGTTTTGCACGGTTGCTCATGTGTCTGATACACTCTGCTCGATAACTCGATACCTGCAAGCGGTGCTGCTGCTCAAGTTGTTGTTGTATTTGTTGTTAACCTTTCTGTAGTCAATCGAGTATGTCCTTCTCCGTTTCAGCAGTCACATGCTAACCCGTCATGGTACATATCCGACAAGAAAAGAAGACACCCAGAGACAATCCCAACACTCGCACAAATTGCAAGTCAAATTCAAAAAAAATATCGAAGTCAGGGTAGGGTGGAAAACGACCTAGCATGGAAGCAGAATCCATTGTTCCGACGCCAGAGCTGAGGAAACCTAGCGTAACTACTTGTATACAAGCACCCCATATTTGAAACTGGACCACTAAACAAGTTATTTATCTCGTATCCCCTGCAAACAAGGGGAGTATGTTTCACCCGTTCTTTTTCATCCGCACTGACTATACCCCCCCTCCACGCCCGGAGTGCCTTATAAGCAACATTGACCATAGGAGACTGTAGAGGCAAGTCGTCGGCATCCCGTCCATTGTTCAGCAGGCGACACGTTACCCTGGCCACCACGAACGCGACTTCAACCACCACAAACGTCAACATTGGCTTGAGCTATTCTACGCCCATTGTACGCTACGTAAGGATCTATCTACGGTGGAAGCATAGCAACAAAAGGGCCTGCCTGGTAGGCGAGTTCTTTGCACTCCCCTCCCTGCACCCCAGCTGTTCCGTCTCGCACGAATCTAAAACGCGGTGGACTACGATCTATGATACATGCACTATGGGTGAAGAGCGTCACTACCGAAACACGTTTACTGTTGAGTTCGCCGTCGTCACGGGCACGCCCGGCGGTATCGGTATCCCCCCAGCTTCCTCCGAGTCAAGCCCCTCACTCGACTCCTTGTAAAGAGTTACCGCAGGAAGGCCCAAGGACGTCCGTCGCCCGCGGTTACCAGCGGGGGAATTCTCACTCCATCTTGCCGCCGCTGCCGCTCCACCCCCCCCCCCCCCCCCCCCCC